TCCCAGGGAGTGGAGCCTTGGTAAAAGGACTTGGCATTGGCAGCTGGAAAAGCCGGAAAGGAAATTCCTAAATGGAAAAGCAGGAGTCATGTTAAGAGAGGAATTTTGGAGCAGAGTGGCAGGAAGTAAGGAGAAAGTACAATGGGAAGCACCTGGAACTATGCCATAAATCAAAGGATTTTATTAGGTAAAGTGGACATCTTTCCCTAGATAGTGAGGCTTTATCAGGAATTTGACATGAGTGACTGTTGAGTTAGATTTTTGGTTTTCTATTCCCATCATTTTATCAACATTTACTTTAAGTTTGTGTGTTCATTTAAGACAAAAAGAAAGCATGTGAGTTACCAGAGGTCAGATTACATTTTTTTTTTTAGCCATGGCCACCTCATTGGCTATACATTTTTTAAAAGTGAAAACAACTAAAAAACACCTTCCAGTGACATTTATTGAAATTGCAGTTTTCCTTTTAGTGTGTATGATTCTGAAATGCTTAGGCAGATCTCAGATTTCAGCATTGTGCTAAGTTTTTGAATCTGTACTGTGCTCCCACCTCACCACCATGGTTAGGGGATGTCATTGGAGGTTTAGTGGGGGTTCAGGACTTCCGCCACTGCCCAGAGGTAGCCCGGCCACAGCTCCTCTCTCTCCACACGCAGTTGGTGGAGTGCACTTTAGTAAACAAAGAAGCACATCTACTCTTGCCGTCTGCTCACCCGACAGCCGGAAGTGCGGCTATAGTCCCAGTGGAGACCCAGAGTTCCCGTGCTTGACCAGCAGTTGTGAGAGTCCCCTCTTCTTTTATGTCAGAGGAAGTTGAGAGAGGAAGCTAGACTTCTCCCACCCAGCAGTACCAGGCTGTGCCTCCCTTCTCCTGCTGAGTGGGGTCAGAGGAAGGCAGCCAAAACAAAGGTTTAAGTTGGAAGCTACAACACCCTCCTCCAGACAAGTGATCCACATCTTCCTAGGAAAGCAGCAGGAACATGGAAGAACTCAACAACACCATCAGCCAAGAGGATCTATTTTGCTATAGAACACTTAAAACAAGAAAAGCAGAATATGCATTCCATGCAAGTACCCATGGAACATGTAGCAAAAAAGATCATAAATCAAAACTAAATAAACTCAGAAGGATCAAAATTATACAGAATGCATTTGCCTACCACAGTGCAATCAAACTAGAAGTCAATAACAGAAAGATAACAAGAAAATCACCAAATACTTGGAAACTAAGCATTGCCCTTCTGTATAATCCATGGATTAAAAAAAAAAAAAAAAAAAAAAAAAAAAAGAATTCACAAGGGAATTAAAAAAAAGTAGAACTGAATGAAAATGAAAATGCAAGAATCAAATTTGTGAAACATGGCTAAAACAGGTCGAGAAAAAAATTTATAGAGCTAAATGAATATATTAGAAAAGAGGATAGTCTCAAATCATAATCAACTCCCACCCTAACAACCTAGGAAAAGGAGAGACAAAATCACTGAAAGCAAGAAAACAGAAGGCAGTCACAAAGAGCAAAATCAATAGAATTTTAAAAGGACAGAGAAAATCAATAAAACAAAGATCTGGTTCTTTTAAAATAACCACAAAATGTGACAAACAGCTAGTAAGAATGACAAAGAGAAAAGATACAAGTTGCTAATATCAGGAATAAAATAGGAAGTATCACTACAAACTGCAGACACTGGGGACATTAAAAAGATCAAAAGGGAATTACAATCAGCTGTTATAAATTTAATAATTTAACAACTTAGATGAAAAGGACCTATTCCTCAAAAAACACAAACTACCTCAGTTTACCCAATATTGCTACATAATTTTAATAGCTCGATAATCATCAAGGATATGAATTTGTAATTTAACTCAACTGAACAGAACAGGAAGGCTCTGGTCCCATATGGTTACACTGGAGCCTTCCTCAAATACCTAAAGGAAAATGAACACTAATCTTACATAATCTTTTCTAGAAAAATAGAAGAGAGAACTCTCCTTAATTAATTTTCTGAAGCTGCTATTACCCTGATATTAAAAGTATTTAAGACAAAGACTATATACATCCACAAAAGAAAAAAAAAAACCTGAAGATCACTATCCATCATGATACAAATGCAAAATACTTTTAAATACTAGCAAATATAATTCAATAAAATGTTAAAAATCATTCACATTAATAATTAATTTTTCCCCCGGGATGCAAAGCTGGTTCTATATTTGAAAATCAATCAAGATAATCTACCATATTAATCAGCTAAAGAAGAAAAAAAATCACAGAATTATATAAATAGATGTGGAAAAAGCATTTTATAAATTTAACATCCATTCATGATAAAAAAAAAAAAAAGACTTAGAAAAAAATGTAGGAATAGAGGGGACAACCTCAATTTGATAAAGAGCATCTACTAACATCTTACAGTTAACCTTATATTCAATGGTGAAAGACAGCGTTTTGCTCATAAGATCAGAAACAAGGTAAGAATGTCTGCTCTCACTACTGTTATTAAACATAGTGCTGATACAATATAAACATAAAGTAATCAATGTTATTTCTATACTAGAGGCCTGGTGCATGAATTCATGCACAGGTGGGGTCCCTTGGTCTGGCTGGTGATCGGGCCAACTGGGCCATCTCACCCAGTCCCATTCAAGGTTGATCAGGCTGACTGGCCTGTGTGTGGGGGGGAGCGGGGAGGAGGGACATGGGGGAGGACTACGGAAGGTTGGCCAGCTGTGGGAGGTTGGCTGTGGAGCACACCAATCACTAGGGGCAGCTCCTGCATTGAGCATCTGCTCCCTGGTGGTCAGTGTGTGTCATAGCAACTGGTCGACTGGTTATAATGGTCACTTAGTTTTTTTATATAGATACTAGTAATGGACAGTAAATTTAAAATATAACATTGATAATCACTCATAAAAATGCAAATAGGTATAAATCTAACAAAACATGAAGATCTATATGCTAAAAACCACAAAATGTGGATGAAAAAAGTCAAAGATCTAAATAAAAGGAGATATATGTCATATTTGTGGATTTGAAGACAATACAATAAATAGTCAATTTACTAATAATATAGTAATAATTCTCCCCAAATTGATACAGGGGTTTGATGTAATTCCTATCAAAATCATGTGAAATTTTATTTAGATATAGCAATATATAGTGAATATTATTCTAAAATGTATATGAAAACATGAAGAAAGTAGAATAGTTAAAACAACTCTTATAAAGGAAAATAATGTGGGAGGAATTAGTCTACTTAATTTAAAGTCATATTATAAATTAATCAAGATGGAGGTGAGGACATAGGTCAATGGAACAGATTAAAGAATGGAGAAATAGATTCATACAGATGTGTTCAATTGATTTTAGGCAGGTGAGTGTACCCATAAATTGTCAACATGGGTGATCCAGGCGATGATGTGAATGTCCTGAATGTTTAGCTCATTAATGTCAATATTCTGGTTGTGATGGTTTGCTAGGATATTATCATTGGAGTGATTGGGTGAAGGGTCCACAACTGAATTATTTCTTACAACTGAATGTGCATCTGCAAGGCTCATTTGGGGTTATTTGGCTTTTTTCTATATTCCTCTCACTAGATACATAGCCTCTTTCTCATGGATTCCTTTTCTGTTTAGTCCCCTCTTGCTGCCCATGAGACAGTCCTCTCAAGCTGACTAGTTAAAATTTCACAAGCAGTTGGGTGATTGTTGTCTTTATTGATCTAACCACCCATACTCCCTTATGGGCGATGTGCCATTCAGCCTGGCCAGTGTGGCTCAGTGGCTGAGCATCAACATATGAACCAGGAGGTCTCAGTTCAGTTCCCACTCAGGACACATGCCCGGGTTGCAGACTTTGCAGACTTGACCTCCAGTGTGGGACATGCAGGAGGCAGCAGATCAGATTCTCTCTTATCACTGATGTTTCTACCTCTTTCTCTCTCCCTTCCTCTCTGAAATCAATAAAAATATATTTTGAAAAAAGAGGTGGCATCCATTGGGCAGCTGCTTCCCTTAGTTCAGTCCTGACCCACCAGGGCAAAGGACAGCCTATGACACCTGACCATAGTGACATGCCTCAAAATTTTTCCACAAGAAGCAGAAGCAGCTGTTGAAACTGATAAGCCTTCTGGCTGAGCTGATTTCTCAAGACCACATTGAAGTTCATGCTTAGCTGAGATTGGGAGAGGCAATAAACATGAATCTCTTAAGAGACCAAATCTTCCAGGCCAGACTGGAATACCAATGAAAGCAGACAATAAAGTCATTTGAGTGTATTTAGAAGTAAACTGTCCTTGAATAATCTAGGCATTATTTTTTCATATGTTTTCTTCATTTTAAAGACTTCAGATTAATGGTGTAAATGATCCTTGCTGAAACTGGTTTGGCTCAGTGGATAGAGCGTCGGCCTGCGGACTGAAGGGTCCCAGGTTCGATTCTGGTCAAGGGCATGTACCTGGGTTGCGGGCACATTCCCAGTAGGAGATGTGCAGGAGGCAGCTGATCGATGTTTCTCTCTCATCGATGTTTCCAACTCTCTATCTCTCTCCCTTCCTCTCTGTAAAAAATCAATAAAATATATTTTTAAAAAATGATCCAAAAGGGCCCTTTTAATAAAGAGACTGAATTTATCAAACTGAAATCACACTTCCTTTTCAAGGTGTCACGGAGTCTTTCCACTTGCTTAGTGCGTTTTCTGCGCAGGTTAGAGGCCTTAAATATAAAGGTTACTCTATGAATGTGAGTCACCACCATTTTCTCTTAAACTAATGATGAGAGGAGGGCTTTGCAAATTAGAACAGAGAGGTGTCCCTTGTGTGATGTGCAGAATGACAGCACACAGGTGAGCACTTTGAACCTGCATGTAATGTGAACTCTAAGACCTGAAGGAGCTTTTTATGAATAACTTTAAACCTCCCCCAATCAAGTTGTTCTTTAAAGGAATTATTCTTGTGGTCATGTTTCATCATTAATAATTATGCCATTTTCTTTTATCCTAGGTAACGTATGAAATTGTTGGAGCAATTGAAAAAAATAAAGACTCCCTTTCACGGAATCTTTCATTTGTAATGAAAAGTAAGTTTCTCCTTCCTATGGTTAAAATACCCCACATTTCTTAGTTCTCTGAACATTATCCTATAAAATATGCCACCAGCTAAAGGATAATTTAAATTCTGTTACATTCTAATGCCCAGAATCATAAAGAATGGATCTTTCCACACTATACATTGGTTACAATTTAATTTGGAGCCTAGTAAAAACCATAATTTAACTAAGCTTTTAGCAGATAGAAATATAAAACACCTTTAACACTCTAGTGTTATGAATATAAAAAAGCTCTTCTGTGAAGACTAATGAAGATGAATATGGCTTCCAAAGTTATTTAGGCCACAGCAGGGTGAATTCCATTACTTAAGACGATTCTGAAACACACATAAGGGGTAGTTTATTCTTATGTAATTTATATAAAGAACTAATGCTCACAAAGTAGAATAAGCATACAAATTGATATGTACTCATGCACATACATATATACATACATCAATATACATTTATAGGTTCCATCTACCTCCTGAATCTTAGTACTTTGTATATGTATATCTGTAATTCTATACTATACTAAAGTTATATGCTACATGTATATATAGTGTAATTATATATGTCAATATATATTTCTATCTCCTCTAGTAATTATTTTCTTAATAGCAGTTCTGCAGTGATTCACATTTTCCTAATAACCTTTTCAATGAATTAAAGCATATCATCTTTTGTGTTTTATGTTGCTCTGAATGAGATAGTGTCATTTATCTTTCCTAGGGAAAGAAGCACATGATAGTCTTTCATGAAATAAGGGGACACCTTTGAGCTGGAAGTAAGATATTCCTATCACTTCTGGTTTGAGGAACATATTTGCCTTAAGCCAAACAGCACAGTTACAATATATTGTTTTACACAGGGAATTACTCTGCTTGCCTCTTAGAACTTCGGGTTTTTGTGAGTTCTCTGAAAGACTGAGACTAATGATAAAATATGGACTTGGAATAATACCACATAGAAGGAAGAAATTGTAAAAAACGGTCCTATTGATTATCATTGCATTGGAAATGTCTTACTGTTTTTCAATATTTGAACTTTCATTCATAACATACTTTCAGTTAACCCACACATTCTATAAAGATCTTATATACAGCATGTTTTCCAGGTGGTACAATGACATTTTCTTAGTTTTGTATTTTATGGTCATAGAATATATATTTAGAATGAGGATATGATGGCTAGTGATATTGCAATTCTCCTCATTTTAATAGAGTTCCAACATTTTAAAGCCATTCTTTTGTGTAAACTTGCTAAAATTTCCAAGAGAAAAACTAGTGATTCTTGCTTTATTCTAAACACTTCAGGATTTAGGCACATTGAGGAAGAAGACAGAATTCACCAAATGCTCTTAGATATTTATGCAAGACATAGCAACATTTTCCTTAAAGGGACAGAAAATAAATACCTTAGGCTTTGCAAGTCATAAGGTCTCTGCTGAATTCTGCTGTTATAAGAAAACAGCCCTAGACAACACAGATGGACATGGTGTATTCCATGAAACTTTATTGACCAAAACAAGAAGTAGGCCAGATGTGGCCAATGAGTCATAGTTGCACACCCATTCTATCATATGAACAAAAGATGCATGGTTGTTACAGCATTTTATGAATCTGTGAAATGTTTTAATATCTTACACTATTTATCTGTGGTTGCATCCATACATAGACTTGCAATAAATACTAATAATTTTATTTATTTAAATAGATCATGGTATTATATATTTACTGTTTATCTTTATTTTGAAATAATTTAAACTTAAAGAAAGTTACAAAATTAGTTCAAAGATCTCCCATATGTCCTTATTCCATATTTTTTCATTTCCTTTCTTTTATCCTTTTTCTCTCTCTCTACCATTCTTCTCTTCTCTCCTTTCTTTCCTCCCTCCCTCCCTTCCTTCCTTCCTTCTTTCCTTCCCTCCTTCCTTCCTTCTTCCCTCCCTCCCTCTCTTCCTTTCTCCCTCCCTCCCTTCCTTCCTCCCTCCCTCCCTCTCTTCCTTCCTTTATTCTTTTATTTCTTCTTTCCTTCCTTCCCTTTGTGTGTGTGTATATACATATATTTTTGATTCATTTGAGATTAAGTCAAATGCATCTTTATTCCTAAAACTCTGGTATAAGATCAAGAGTATTATCTTATATAACATCAGTAATTCTCAGAATATGTAACATCGATACAATAATAGTAATGTCTAATTATGAGTCCCTGTAAACTTTACCAGTTAACCTTGATCACTTTTGAAGGTGGCATACTTCAGGTTTTTTTTTTTTTTTAATCAAAGGTCACTTTTTCCTTTGATAAGTAATTTTTAAGGAAGCACTTTGAGACAATGTAAATATTTTTGTCCTCATCAAACTTCCACCCATTAGTTTTGCATAAATGAATGCTTCCTACCTAAATTAACGATTTCTCTATGGTTGCAAGATTATGGTTTTCTAACCCATTTTTTCCATCAACAGTAAATTCTATAAGAACTCATCTTTCTGATTAATTAATTATCAATATGAACTCATAAATTCTTTTGTTTTTTTCCTTGTCTCTTTAAAAAATGTTATTGATGTAGTATTGTTTGATAACATTCTATAAATTTCAGGTGTACAGCATTGTAATTTGGTATTTGTATACTCTGTTATGTGCTCACCACCAAAAGTCTAGTTTCTTCTTGATTCCCTTATTTTACTCAATGAATCATAATCCATTACTATTATTATTTTGATGTTGAAATTGCCAACATGTGGCCAGTGAGAGCCTCCTGTGTCCTTTTGACAGGCTCTCATAATATTTTTTAGCACTTCCTTGCATGTTTTTTCTTCCAAGATGTTCCAGGCTTTTCTCCCTTGCCTCAGATGTAGAATCAGCCATGTGTCCAAGAAGCCTTGATTTATTTTAGAGTAGAATAGTATTTATTCTTAAACACCAAGGTCTGGGGGCCTCGTGAGCTCATTTCTATTGTGGTGTCATGGCTTTTTGGCTCTTTCAGAACTACCAAATTTAAGATATAGATATAGAAAATATATCAATATATAAAAATACTAGAGGCCTAGTGCACGATTCATGCACCGGTGGGATCCCTCGGCCTGGCCTTCACCCTCTCACAATCTGGGACCCCTCGGGGGATGTCAAACTTCTGGTTTCTGCCATATCCCCGCAGGACAGGCCGAGGGACCCCACCGGTGCATGAATCCGTGCACCAGGCCTCTAGTATGCATATAAGATCTTTGGTTAATCTCTTTCTGCCATCTCCCCTCCCCCTTTCCCTCTGAGATTCATCAGTATGTTCCATGTTTTCATGCCTGTGTGTTGAGCATCTGCCCCCTGGTGGTCAGTGTGCATCATAGCTACCGGTCAAATGGTCACTTAGGCTTTTATATCTATAGATAGCTATATAGTTATATATTAAAGTCATGAATTTATGCTATTACTCTATTTTTCATCTAACACCAAAGGGCTTCTTTTTGCCTTCTTGCATTCCATGACCATGTCTTCCCTCTCTGGACAGTTCTCCCTAGTTGTCTGTTTGTTTATTCATAGAATGACTTTGCACTGAGTGCATTGCTAATAAATATGTTAGCCTGGACAAGCAAAATAATATGGGTGTAGAAAAGGTAAAATGGCTTTGGTACAAAACATTGCTAACTGTCTGATGGGCTGAGCATTATCCTAAATTATTTATGCACACTATTTCACATTTTAATCTTGTAGCAATCCTCAAAGTAGCTATTTTCATGGTCATTTTAAAGAAAAGGAAACTAAAGCTTAAAAACCTGCCTATGTATAGATAGAGGTAACACAAGAAAAATGCCTTCTGGATCCTTAAACACCATATACAGTTTTGACTACGCTGTTTGAATTTATAACCAAAAATTCATTCATCATTACTCCAGTTTCTTTCTGAGATGTGAAGAAAGGAATGAGATCCCGGAATTATTAGAATTTGCATAACATAACATCTAATACATATCAACATGTGCTTTTTATTTTTAGTTTATTTTTCAATTACAGTTTATATTTAATATTATTTTTTATTAGTTTCAGGTGTGTGGTATAATGGTTAGATAATAGTATACTTTACAAAGTGTTCTCCCCGATAGTTCCTGTACCCACCGGGTACCATGCATAGTTATTACAATTGTATTGACTATATTCCCTATTTATATGTGAATCTAAAGAACAGACTAAATGAACAAACCAAATTGAAATAGACTCATAGACACAGAGAACAGACTGATGGTTGCCAGAGGGGAGAGGTGTGGGGGCACTGAGTAACAAAGGTGAAGGGATTAAGGAGTACGGATTGGCAGTTACCAAATAGTCTCATAGGTACTTACATCCAGCCCTGAGACAGCTTAGATGCTTGGGAAGCATGTTCCTGGGTAGTTACTTTCCTGCAAGAGGAGTTCCTGAGAGAATCCGTGTCTTCATGACTTGGGCAAGTGCATTAAAGCCCCTTAGGCTTGATCGGGTAAGATTCTGCTCAGACAGCTAGGAGAGTAGTAAGTGACAATTAGAGAGTGAGGGACCAAGCACTCAGATGGAGAACTGGGAAACATAGATCAGGACACCTGGCCAAGGACAAGGGCGGTCAGAATTCATCAAATGGTATAATGCATCGTGGGGAAAATAAAATAGAGGCAAAGGGAAAGATGGACTCTTTGATTACATCTTCCACTCTGAATGTGTTACTAGCTGAAGGACTTGGAAGAGGAGTAAGTATAATGTAAATAACAATGTTAGTGCCACCTTAAAATATTCATTTATTTATTTCCTAGCTAGTGAAAATGTCGTGATCAATCACTTGTTCCAGTCGAAACTGTCACAAACAGGATCCCTTCTATCTTCCTATCCTTCCTTTAAATTCAGAGGACATAAATCTACCCTGCTCAATAAGAAAATGACAGCTTCTTCAACTATTGGAGAAAACAGGAATTATCTAGAACTTAGTAAGGTAGGAATTTTGTGATTGCCATTTGGTTGTTTTTAAGTTTGCTTAGAATGTTTGCTTCTTTTTTTTAAGAAAGCACAATTATAATTAGTAAAGGAAAGAAATTTTTATTTTAATTTAAAAAAATTAAATGAAAGGATGCCTACTTGAAGTATAAACATCAGAAAGAGGGACCAGTATAGGAAAGTACTTTCCAGTGAAAATTCAATAGCAAATACACAGTATTTGTAATTGTGTTGGTTGTCTGTGCAACATCCTATTTATGTTTCATCTCTATGACTGTCTCTGTGATGAATGGGAAGTAAATTTTAGGGCTAGTAGGCTAAGGTGGGATTAACTTAGCTACCTTATTCTGTTGACATTAATTACTTGAGAGGTTTTAAGTCTCTGAACATAAATTGCAGTTTCTCACAGACCCAGTGCCTTTTTCAGGTGCTAGAATGTTTTTACTGCATATTTTGTAGACATTTAAGTTATTTTTTTATTATACTATTTTTTAAATGTGTATTTGTCTCACACAAGTGTGGCTGCTCTTACACCTAATGGTTCAAACTATTTGTGAAATAGAACTACAAATTCAGTAAAGAGTTTTTCAAACTGAAATGTCTTCAGTTTAAAATTCAGTGTGGCCCAGTTTGTTTTGCTTGCCTCTACCAAAACCATAAAAGATGAGAAATATGATTGGGAAGGTGTCCAGGACAATCATTTTTAGATACTCAGTTGTAGCTTGCTGGAATGCATTTTAGCTTACCAATTAAAATGAAAGCATAATTAAAATCAGCTCTATTTTAGAAGAGTGGCAGAAATGTGTATAATATATTAGAAATGTGTGTGTGTGTGTGTGTGTGTGTGTGTGTGTGTGTGTGTTTCCTAGACCTGAGACTTAGGGATCCTTTGATATAGCTATATGATCACAGGAATTCAATCTCACTGAATACAAAAATGGCATCTTTTACATAAAAAAGACAAAGATTTACCCTTTATAAGGGAGATCTCTATTCCTGAGGGTTTCATTGAACCTGTTGGCCCTTCCTTTTCAATCACCCTGGAAATCAAGAGCAAGAAATCACCGCACACCTCTAAATTGTAATTTTTAACCTTAATTATTAAACATTACCAGGCACAGATGCCATTAGTATTTTCCCTAAAGGACTGCAGAAGAGAGATAACTCACAGTAGTTCCTCCACCCAGAAAGGGGTATTGAATGTTTAATTTCAAGGGGTGGAGATTTATTTATTATGATTACTCCTTAAGTGTTCCATTCCTCACTTCTGTTCAAACTGCCCTCATCCCTGCACGTCCTCCCCTGTGACTGGCAGAGTAGGTAGGAGTCAGCCCACTTTTTAATGGAGCATCACACTGGGCTTCCTGTTTGTAGGAAAAGGTTGATCCTGGACCAGTCGCGTCATTTGACAGTCCCTCATCAGTGATAATTAATCATTTCTGTTTGACAGTTGATCTTAATGGAAGGAAAAGAGCTATTGCCATGGCAGCAATAACACCAAATTGACAAGATTTTTATTAGAATATTTTCTTCTATAAAGATCTTTCTATTTAAAGATAACTGATTTTGGATCACTAGATATGTTGGCTTAAGTCCGTATGATTTTGTGAAATGTAAAGGTACATTAGTGGTTGAGATTCCTTTTAGACCATGGTAGAATTTAATTAATTTCCTTGTGCCCTTTATTTCTCCATTCCCCCTGGCTTCATTTTAACTGACTTTTTTTTTTTAATCTCCATTATGATTTAATCTTCGCTACACAAGATTTTTTTTCTTTTAAGAGGTATATTTAATTACTTATCACAGAAAATAGTCTATTGTTCTTTTTCACAGCCAGGCAAACGTTTTGTAGTTTAAAATGAAGAAAAGGAAGGGTAGGGAAAAATAAAGGGTGAGAAACGAATCATAGTTAATCTTAAGGAAACAAACCAATGGTTGTTAAAACATCAAATCTTTGTAACACAAAATAGTGTTATTTTGCCCTAGAGTCAGTGACATTTCATGATAAATGTGGACAGTTAGTTATACAACTAGTAAAAATACCAGGGCGAGTTTATTGTACTAACAAGTGAGTCTGGATCTATATTTAATTTCAAATTAAAGTGGGCGCAGGATGCTTACAGCCACCTACTTGAAGGGTTGGTAGTAATGGTTATTTTATATGTAGTTTCCCATTTCCCCAACATTATGGTAGTGTTACAGAAAATCATTTGATACTGATTTTTATAGTCTGTTTTAAATCTATATCTGCCTGTCAGAGAATTTACATGGATGAGAGAGTTTTTTTCTTCTAAATGGAATTTAGTAAAGTAAATTTTCCCACCCTTTCTTTGTTTTTGTTTTCTTTATAGTTATTGAAAAAGAAAGGAACTTCTGCATTTCTTCAAAGACTGGAACGAGGAGGTCCAGTCACCATTGCATCACAACTCAGGGTTAGTGATGTTTTCTGATTCTAAAACCTAAATTTTGATCATATCAACTGTAGAGGGTTTATATAGAATTTCCCCTCCCCCATTTTTGACCACTTGAGTACCTTTACACACACACACACACACACACACACACACACACACACACACACAGTGAGTGAAGGCATAACTTTTAAAGTCCTGATCGAAGGTAAAGATTTTTTTTAAATATATTTTATTGATTTTTTACAGAGAGGAAGGAAGAGGGATAGAGAGCTAGAAACATCGATGGGAGAGAAACATCGATCAGCTGCCTCCTGCACACTCCCTACTGGGTATGTGCCCGCAACCAAGGTACATGCCCTTGACTAGAATCAAACCTGGGACCCTTGAGTCTGCAGGCCGACGCTCTATCCATTGAGCCAAACCAGTTAGGGCTGAAGATAAAGATTCTTATTTAAAAATTGCTTTATATTTTGTTGTCTTTGAAGAATCAGTTTGGTTTTACTTCTCTCCTTAGAAATCTCTAACGGATATTATTGGAAAACTTCAGAAGTGCACGCCACACTTTATTCATTGCATCAAGCCCAATAACTCAAAGCTGCCAGATACCTTTGATAATTTTTACGTGTCTGCTCAGCTACAATATATTGGGGTCCTGGCGATGGTGAAGATCATCCGATATGGATACCCTGTTCGCCTGTCCTTCTCAGATTGCCTGTCAAGGTAAATTTTGTTCGTGAAACACTGTTCATTGTTCAGTGGAGCATACCGACCATATTGCAACGAGGGTCTTCTGGTCTTTTTCTTTATTATGGCGTTGCTTATATTATTCATTTTCTCCCATCCAGAAGAAACAAAGTACTCTGGGAAACAAGGAAACGCACTAATAAAGCTAATGTAAAAAGTTGCTAAACTTTGATACCTTGGAAATCATTTTCATGTTCTCTTAAGTTTGGGGGAGTTCCTTGGATTTAAAGATTTACAAAATGGTCATCTATAATGTTTACATAAAGGTTATTATTTGAAGGAAGAACATATATATGTGATTATTTTCTTTTTTATATCTATGAACAAAACATTTTTTTTAGATTAGGGGATGATAAAAAAATTCATGGGCCAAATTTAGACCATCACATATTTTTGAAGATAAAGCTTTATTAAAACAGATGAAAATGTCTGATTTTAAGGAATCAATAAAAGGGGGGGGGCAGACAAAATAAAAACCAGAAAGCATTTGTTAAAATCCTATATAAAAAGATGAAATTTTAAAATAGTTTTGATATAAAATAGTAATAAAGATGTAAGAATAAAATCTAGCATTTAAGATTGCAAACTAACTGTACAATAGAGTATGGAAAAATATTTTTGACGATCCATTCATTTAACAAAAGAGATTTTGAGAATTTTGTTGACCAGAAGTTCCATTTGAGTCACTAGTCTGGAGAAGCTGCTAAACTTAAATTAATAAGTTAGAAATATTTAGCTCAGAACAAAGGGCATAGTATTTATGACTAAAACTCTATATTCAATTTCTTTAACATTTGTTTTTTCAAAAGAAAGAAGTAGCATTTCCTCATTGTGTTTTTTGGTAAATTTCACAAAAACACAGAGAAGCAGATAAAAATCATATGAGTTTTCTTCAGCTATCCTTTAAAAAAAACTGATAGAATATCTGCAGAAGAGAAGATAAAATTGGCCACAAGTCACGATAAATTATTAGGGGAATGAATATGTTTAACCTGCAGGTTTATATTTCAGATTGACAAAATATCTGCGGGTTAAAACTTTAAAGATGTTTATGAACGAGTAAATAGACACACTGTCTCCTATTTATAGGGAAGAACTGCAATATATTTCCCACACATAATAGTTTAGGCATTCAAAGTAATCCTTCCCACTTGTTTAAGTACAAGTAGTCTTTGGATTAATGAGTTTAAAATCTCCCCCTAAACAAGTTTAAAGTAATAGATTCCCACATTCACCCAAGACCTTTCACATTGCAATCAATACAAATTACAATCCCACGACCCCCTGGTGTGTCTTGTGGTGAGGGGTAAGGTGTAGGACCTGCTAGTCGCATATGATATCAGAGGGTCACAGGTCTTGGTAAATTGGAGTTTGGGCAGTAGAAGTAACTCCCTTCCCAAATTTTGCTGAGAACAGCTGTTCCCTAACGTTATTGTCCATGAAAATCACTCGAGGCTTGTTAAAACAGATTCTAGGGCAGCACCCCCGAGTTTCCCACTCAGTAGGCCTAGGTGAGGCTGTGAAATTCTCATTTCTAATGGTGATGCTGACATTGCTGATATGTGAACAACCCTTTGAGAACCACTGGCCTCGAATACCTAGTCATCTGGGGCTATGACTTTGTTCTGTTTTGTGTGTGTGTGTGTGTGTGTGTGTGTGTGTGTGTGTGTGTGTGTTTTCCCAGCCAAGAGCTGAAAGTATGTGAATGCCTTGATAATCAAAGTGAACTTTTTGAGACTGCAAAATCTCAATGATTTATTAAATTATTAATTGAAATCTGCAAATATTTTGAGATTCCCTAGTGATCTGTATACACTTGGAGTTTGAAAAAGACTGTTGATGGATTTTTATATTGGATATGAAATAGGATTAATCTAACTGTGAAATTTTTAAAAAATATATTTAATGCATTTTTTTCTGTTTCCTTATTTTGTTAAAGTGTTCTAGAATCATGGAATCAAAGAAGGTCTGCATTAAAGGCCCCCTTATGTTTCCTCAAGTATAACCTTTGGTAGCTGTATAATTCTTTTTTCTTTTATTTTGTTTTTACTGTTGACACTATTATAGATAGTGTCCTCCCATTTCCCCCCACATTTGCCCACCTCCATCCATCCGCCTTACCCCACCTACTCTCCCATGGCCATCACCATCACCACACTATTGTCTGTATCCAAGGGCTATGCATATATATTCTTTGGCTAATCTCTTCACCTTCTTTCATCCAGTCCATCCAGTCCTCTATCCCCTCTGACACCTGTCAGTCTGTTCCATGTATTCATACCTCTGGTCTATTTTGTTCCTCAGTTTCTTTTGTTCATTTGATTCCACAGATCAGTGAGATCATATGGTATTTGTCTTTCTCTGAATGGCTTATTTTGCTTGACTACTGTTCCAGCAAGCAGTTATTTGAATTGCCCTATTCCCTGAGAAAAGGGTAGAGAAAATGGCTGTGTGTGTGTGTGTGTGTGTGTGTGTGTGTGTGTGTGTGTGGAGGGGGGGGGCGGGGGTGGAGGTTACAATATTATATATCATAATGATTAGAAAATTAGTTTTATCTTTATTTTTTAAATCTAATTTTACATATACACTCTATGAAGATTTATTTCTATTAAAATAGCATATGCAATGAGTGTCTTTTAAAATTAAGTTCAATTTTTTTATATATATGCTTTTCTTGCTGTACTATGACTTCTAGGCAGGGACATCTCTTATTCAATCACAATTCCTGTGCATTTTTGGTGTTTAATCAATGTTTTCAGAATGAACCTGACTTTGAATATTAATGGTTGTTCAATTTGAAGTAATGTTCCTGCGTAACAGAGACCATAGCTGTACTTTATTTGTTTAAAGGAGTAGTGGGGATGGGAAATGATATTTTTTGAAAATCTTTGCATTTCTTTAGTCAACCCCTTATTTAAAAGGCAATGTGATGTCTAATTATTATCTTTATTTGCAATGACATATCAATAGAAATTGCTTTATTAATTTATTTCAGTGGAAAATTGTCATCATTTATCTTAAATGAAGGATGCCAGTCTGGAATATTATCACAAAAATACCAATAAATAGAGATAATATGTTTTAATAGAACTTGAATAAAACACAATCCACATACTGTCACGTCAGAAAATAACATGATTTATTATTCAGAAAGCGCATCAGAACTTTGAAATCTCCCCAGGCTATCAAGCATCATTATATATAAAAAGCCTAGAGGTGCAATTTAATAGAACATTTTGGTTGCCAAACTATCAGACAACAGAATGTATTTTTCTTATGTAAAATATTTATTTTCTATTCATAGCACCTTGTCTTAACTGCTAGAGAATAAAATCCTGTCAAAACAAATGACTTTGTTTAGTATACAAAAAGGAATGTGGTTACAAAAAAAAAGGGACAAATATAAAAAAGATGTCCAGTTTTGAGGCAAACACCTACTTATGTGGACAGCATTTATTGTTTCTGATATCCAACATGATAACAAATGTGGACAATGGACATTCCAGTAGAATCTGCAAGTGCACATGATTATATTACAAATTTGCTCCCTGGTATCTGGGCTTTAATTACTATTCATCATGCTGAGTCTTCCTAATTGAAAGAGGAGAATTGTTGTAGTTGAGAGGATCCTATTTTGATTTAGTGTAGAAGTATGCTTGTTGAATTTTTCCCTGATAGTGTCAGAAGCTTCCTAGGGGGACGATAAAGATATAAGATCTTGTCTCTCATGGCAGGAAACTTCACAAGTTTGGATATATGAGGAAGAAGAAAAGGAGCAACAGAACTGAATTATTATATAAAAATCGTGATACATAAAATTACATATTGCTTGGACTGAATTGTATCCCCCCCCCATTCATATGTTGAAGCTCTAATCCCCAATATGACTGTATTAGGAGATGGGGCCTATAAGGAGATAATAAAAGTGGGGCCCTGATCCAAGTTCTGATGTGGCATATGATGCTCCCTTTTTCTCATTGGTTAATGGCAGTCACTTGGCCAAGGTTAGCATCATTAGGGAGGAAAGGTATCATACTCAGGAGGTACCACAAAACACACAATGAAGAGTGCGAAAGTGTCATTTCTGGCTCGCTTGTCTGTTGCTGTATGACAGACTATCCCAAAATTTAGTGGCGTACAATAGCAATTTACTATTTCTCCCAGTTCTATGGGTTAACTGTACTTTGTGGGCAGTTCTTGTCTGTGGTCTCCTGACAGTTGCTGCTATATAGCAGAAGAGTTTGGTGTTAGCTGAAGGGCTCAGTGGGGCTGGATGTACAAGACGCTTCTCCCTGGTGTGTCCAGTGCCTCTGTGTTCCTCTGTGTGGCCTCTCTCTCCATCAGAATGTCATGGACTTCTTACCTTGTGGCTATCAGTTCCAAAAGGCAAAAATAGAAACTTTCAGCCCTCTTAAAACCTGGGCGTGGGACTAGTACAGCATCACTGGCTCTGTGCTCTATTGGTCAAAGCAGTTGCCGACCAGCCCAAATCCTTCAAGTGGTAAGGGAGCAATTGACAGTGGCCAACTTTGAGACAAGCTGTCACATCTTCTTAAAGGAAGATAATGCAAGTAATAGGGAACAATGAAAAGTCTTCCACAGCCATGCGCTTTCATAGGAATGATATTATTTTTGTATCTCTCCAGGAAGTGTACTAGTATGTGAGTTTGATGTATTAAATAATATAATACCATCATTTTTGCCAAATTATAGAATTGTGGAAAATAATCATGGGTGAATGCTGAAGAAATGGTTTTGAGAAGTTCCTCAAGGTATGGCACCATGCCTTGTCCCTTATGTGGTGCCATACCACTCTTTTGCAAAGCTCTCTTTAGTAGCCCATATTCTTGTGACATTAAAATTAACAGCCAAAACCGGTTTGGCTCAGTGGATAGAGCATGGGCCTGCAGACTGAAGGGTCCCAGGTTCGATTCCGGTCAAGGGCATGTACCTGGGTTGCGGGCACATCCCCAGTG